TTAACTTTGTATTTGCTTCTTAGAGAATCATCATTAACCACTACTACATATATAAAGGAGAGCCTGGACAATGATAGCTCTTCCAAATGTCAATGTATAAGAGAGGTAAATATGGAAATAAAGACACTTGACATAAATGATTGGGCTGGTAGCTACAATCATCATAAATAGTTGTTGTTAGCTACTATTTGCTGCAAATAGTTACAGCAGCCACAAATAACTCAAAAGGTTTTCAAGATTAATATAATTATTAACATTATTATATTAATAATGAGAAAATTTTCTTGATTTATTTGTGATCTGCAATAACTAAAATTTTCAAATTGTAATTGATGAATTCAATTGCTCAGTTGTTCATTTACAGTGAAATCATGTGTAAAAATAAAATTTGCAATTATTTGCAGCAGCTGTATCTATTTGTAGCAACCATAGCTATTTGCAGCAACTGTAGCTATTTGCAGCAGCATATCTGTTTACAGCAGCCATAGCTGCTTGCAAACAGCAATAAATATTTTATAATGGTAACTACCAGGGATAACTACTCTATGGTAGTTACCATTGCCACAAATAACCAAATATGGCAGGTGCCTTTGTCTAGAAAATTCTGATAATAGTAATGAGAAAAATAACGATGAAAATGATAACATTCCAAGGAAGAAGATGATGGTAAGAAATGGATCATATGTGACACCAAATTGAAAAAAATATCAATCACATGCAGAAACTCCTTGATCAAGAAGGTCAAGAAGCTACAATAGCAATTCATCACTTTGTGATTCATCAGATTCTGACATTGACAACAACCTTTTCAGAGCCAATGCTGTGTGTCCTGAAACTCTTAGTTAGAGTTAAAGATGGCTCTGTAACTAGGAAGTTGAAACCCAAAAAATATTGACATCTAATGCTGCAGTTGCTGTAAGTCTACAATTGCCACAACTGTCTGCAACTGTCTGCAATTGTATATGCTGATTATTATGAAGTTTTAACTGATTATCAAGCCAAATGTCCAAAGTTGCATGAACTTAAAAAAGCATGCATCAACAGAATAATAGAATACAATAGAACACAATCAGGCTTGTTTTGAGAAGCATTTCCAATTATAGAAAAATGGGAATGTTTTGAAAAAGAATGGACTCAAATTGAATTCTATCTGCTCATCATCTTTCTTAAAGAATTGCATCAAAAAAATGTTTAGAACTTCATCATACAAAATATCAAGATGAACCAATTCCTTTAATATATCAGCCAAGAGATGTACACAAGCAAAAATGTCTTGTTTCAATTTCTGGCTCATCCGAAATACAGGAATTAGTAAAAAATGATATAGTATAGCTCAATTCACCTAAAACCGACCAATTTTATTCAGCATTTTCAAAGCCCATCACATGGACACATAGAGCACTTTTGGATTCAAACTCTTCATAGTTTTATATAGTAAATGTCAAAGAATAATCTATGAAAAGTTTGATGTAAAATATTTATTACTTAAAAAGTTATTGTTGTTTGAATATTAGTGACTTTCTATATTTTAAACAATGTTTATCCTAAATTTTGCCACCTCTTCCATAGATCGTTAACTATTAAGGAATGGTCTTCATCCAAAATTTTTTAATTTTTTTCTTGATGATAATTTAGGAAAGGATCATTTCCTACTTAAGAAATTTTATTTACTGAATTAGAAATGATATTCTAAAATTTGAAATGGTCGGGTTATTTTTTAAAATCTTTTGATCAAAAAAATTTGCAAAAATGTTCATTTTAAGATGTCGATTCGTTGATTACGTACCCGCAACCATCAATTCCCTGGCCTTTACCTCGCCCTCTTTACCAAAGTTGCTTCTTGCTTGTGGCTGAGCTAATGGCGATATTGAAATATGGGAGCCAAAAGAACGCTTGAATTTACAAAAAGTATTCTATTAATTTTGACAATTTTTCCTCAAGATTACATTTAGGGCTTATTTATTTAATTTTGCATGTCTAGAATATTTAGACGATTCCAGGTGTGGTTAATACTACTGTAGAAACTCTTGTTTAGATAAACCGTAAATCATCGTCACTATCGATCAAAACATCCTCTTCTAATCAATCACCTAGACTTTTTTCTGGAAGTTTAAATGGATTAATAATAGAATGGATTTAATAAAGTTGAAATGAAGGTTTATTGTTATTATTGTTGTTGTTACTGCTACTGTTATTACACACACATGGACTATATTCTTTCCTTCCACAAGTTCATTCATTTTCTTATCTATTTCCAAATTAGAAATCAGCAGATTCATTAGGAGTTGCTGTATGGTATATGAAACCAAATTATGCAAATACAATGTTGGCGATAGGATGTAAAGAGAAGATTTAAGATTGATTAAGGTCTTTACCAGAATAAATGCTAAAGTTATTTCACTAGATTGGGGTTATGATGATAAATATCTTGTAAGCGGATCATCAGATGGCATAATATCTAAATGGGATGTTGGTAAAGGTAATAATGACACCTTCTAAAAAGTATGGCTGAATCATATTACAAATTTTTAATTATTATTATTTTTCTTTAGGTAGATGTGATCAAAGGATGACTGCAGAAACTTCAAAAGGATCAGAGACAATTAGTTGGGCAGTCAAAATACTCAAGTACGTTAATTTCATTTTTTACGTTTAATCATTTAATCATTTGATTCTTATGAATATGTAAATGAATGACAAATAAAAATAAATTAGAGGTGGGATAATCGTTAGTGGTGATTCGCTTGGAAATGTGCAATTTTGGGATGGAAAGATGGGTACAATGTTACAAACATTTAAAATTCACGAAGCAGATGTACTCTGTCTTGAAACAAATTGTGTAATTATTATTGGAATTACATTACATTATTTTACCTTTTAAGGAAAAGCTTGATTTCTGATTTTTTAATGATTATAGTCAGGGACAGAGGTTTTTTCAAGCGGCGTAGATCGTAAATGTTGTTTATTTCGTTATGTCGATCTATCATTGGAGTCAACTTCTGATGATGCAGATCTTGATTCGATTATGAGTTTTGATGATTTAACAGATATTAATCACATTAAGAATCTAACTGAACAATGGATTTCTGTTGGATATCATCATCAACATTCTCATAATGGAGCATTTGCTTATTTTTAAGCTCAAGATTTTCAAGTCTTGGTAACTATCAATTATTTTCTTTTTCAAATTTTTTTTTTTAGAAAATAATTAAATAAATTGTCGCTGTTATTATTGTAGGTGTTGTTACAACATTATCAGTATCCCCAAGAGCTGATTTTCCTCAATAAATTTCGCCATTTACCATTCACTCCCCAAAAACCTTTAATATGTTTAAAGTTATGGAAATTGGGAAAAGGTTAGTATTATTATCATAACTAATAGTTATTTGGAAATATGTTATTGTATAACATACTAATGATATTGATAATGATGATAATGATTATAATGATAGCAATTAGTCGGGAAAATTCTTATGAAAAGATACCAAAGTTATATATACAAGGACCTCAACAAGCCGTTTTAGAAATGACTTAATCTATTACCAATCTAATATATATGAATGATTGCCGGATATTTCAAGACGTAATAACAGAATAGAAACCTTAACACAATTTAAGCAAATCCAAAACAAACAAGAAAAAGACCTATAACTTCAATTGCTGTTAGTAATGATAGTTTATGGTTGGCATGTGGAAATGAGTTGAATAGAATACGAATTTTTAATTTGGAAAAACTAAAAGTAAATTTTCTTTACATCCAATTTTCATTATTACTCGAGCCAACTAAATTATTCAAACTAAAATATTATATAATTGCATTATTTTTAGTATCATTCAACACTTCCAATATTTTCATCAAAACATGCGTCTTTAACTTTTGATCCGTTTGAATCAATCCTGATGATCACATTAACAAACAACATATTTTATCTTTGAAATATAATTGACTATGAATTAACAAATTGGTCACGACAATACTCAAATTGTTTACCTGACAAGTTTCTTTGCCTTCAAGATAAGACAATCGGTTGCACTTTCAATCCCACTAATAATAAAATCATGATTTTATGGACAAGCAGATATTTTTGTTTTATTGATTTCAGTAAAAAGGTCAAATCTAAGTTGAATTTGTTTTATGGTCACGGTACAAATAAACCACATCGAATTAATCAAAATGATAATGACAATGGGTGATGATGACGATAATTATACTATTACTAAAAATAATACAAAAATAGCCAACATACAATTAGTGACTAGATACAAACAATCGTGTATCTTGATTTTATTTTACCTGATTCTTTAGTAATTGTGGAAAAAACACTGGTTGATATTCTAGAACAATTACCGCCTGCTTTCTATGTTTCAAAATATGGCACATGATTATTTGGAATTTCATCATGCATTTAATTTAATAAATACGTTTATGTTTTTAAAAAATTTTAATCCACATCGTGAAACATTTTAAATGATTGATGACTTTTATATTTTTTTGTATAACAATATGTTAATTTCTTCGAAAGTTGGAGCAACGTAAACGACAGTTTTATTATTATTTAATATTTATAGGTTGTTTGTATTTATTTATATATATATATATACTCTGATTTTCATTAATAAATATTGTTATTTATTTATTCATAACGTTCTTTATGATTTTCTCGATCTTTACCTTGTCTGTTATACCTAATACCTCTACATAATTTCTTTTTTGATCGCAACTTTATTTCGATTATAATTTTTTGACGCG